GGATAATAGTGATTCATCTCTGCAGCACTTCTGGCCTGGTTTAACACTAAAGCGCCTGGAAAATCAATACCAAAAATGAAGAAAAACGCCCCATAGGATTCTTCTCTGTACAGGACTCCTAATCTGGCAACTCTTTAAATGATTCGGTAGGAAAAAGGCGTTTGGCTTGATACTTCCTTTCCAAAGCTCTGCCACAAAGTCTGTCTCAGAGACGATGTACCTTTTATAATGACTATCCTGGTTCTTGGCCAATCACTTTGGAGAGGATTCATGAATGAAAAAGTATTTGAAAATGTCAGCAAGACTGAAGCTTTCATTTTAGTTTTGATTATTTAGACCCAGCTCAGCAATACATGCGACTGTCTCATTCAATTAAATAAATAATTCTGGCATGTCTAATAGGGGCTGAGGACAGAGCCAGATGGTCATCACGCACCAAACGAATACAACCATGTTTCTGCATTCAAGGAGCGGGGCACAAATGAGTACCGTTAATGCATAACTAATCAAAGCAGAGAAAAGCCATAAAGAGCTACAGAAGGCCCCGGAGGCATGGAGAAGGGAGGCAGAGGACACATGCTGATGGGGAGAGCTGAAAAGGCAAATGACTCATTCTCCTGGGGCCTTAGTTTCTTCACCTGTAAAATGAGTATAATGCCAGTACTCATCTCATAGGGATGCTGTAAGGTCTGAATGAGATAATGCATGTAAAGCACTTCGCACAGTGGTTTGGACACAATAAGCACTTAATGAATGGTAGCTACTACTATCATTATGAAAGAGGTTGGGGTTGAGGTGAATTTTGAAAGACGGGTAGCTGAGGATAGGTGTGGGAAAGACATTCACCAAGGATGAACTAAGAAGCCAAGATCATGCTCACTTCCTCTAGAGAAGGGCTGGGGTTAGGAGTCAAACAGTGCTGGCTTTGAATCTGTCTCTATCATTTATAAGCTACCTGAACTTGAGCAAGTTTGTAAGCTACCTGAACCTGAGCCTAAGTTTTGCCATCTGTTAAATGGGAATAAAAATACCCATTTGCTGGGTTGCTCTAAGGATAGAAGAAGATCATGAAAGTAAACATCTATTATAATGCATGACATTGAGTTGCTATTCTATAAATGATAGTACTTATTATTACAGAGAAAACTCTCTTTCTAAAGTCATTAAAATGTCATGTAGAAAATATAATGCAAGTTGCCAGAGTGTTAGGGAGTTCAAGGAATTTTGTAGACTAGCACCTACTCCCCCAGCTCTAGTCAAAATTATCTACTCAACATGGCATGAAGATATGGAAAAACACTGAGCAACTATTTCTGGGAATATCAAACTGTTGTGGGTGTAATAACTGCTGAGTATGGGAGAAAGAGACCAAGGAGAGCCCTGGGATTTCGGTCTTGCCTGGATTTCTAACTTGCAATGTGAATTAGAAAACTCCCCAATATTCAAATGAAAGGTTGGACTAGACTTCTCTAGGGTCCTTCCAGCTCTGCAATAACTTTTTCTTTAAAACCAGAGCTCTTCTGGACTTATCGCTTAATGGGTTCAGAATTTCTGCTTGGGATGTTGAAAAAGTTTTGAAAATGGATAATGCAAGGATTGCCCAACAGTGTGAATGTGCTGAATGCCACTGACATGTACACTTAAAATAGTAAATTTTATGTTATGTATATTTTACTTCCCCTCTCTTCCCCCCCAAAAAGGAAAAAAAAACACAGAGCTCTTCTGAGAAGAGGATTTATTGATTACCCTTCTGGGCCTTCCTTCAGAGTAGGTGTTGTAGTCTGCGTTCCTCAGATCTGTGCAACATGCCGTGTCTACTGTAACTGAAATCCATTTTCACAACCTACATCCGAGAGCGCAGTTCTAGGAAACCCAATGCTCCACTAGACAATGGCTGGTAACAGCACCTCATGAGTTCGTGTTTCCCACCTGGGTGATCCCTGTCTTCCCCCTTGTTTATTTCCTTCCTTTCCTTTCCCCACAAATAATTTCCATTGGGAAATGTGAAAATATGAAATGTGTGGGAGACCTGGTGACTGAGTCACAGTGTACCTGGTGGCTTTTTAGGGTCCCTAACAAGAGTGCTTCAGGGTGGCAGTGCGCTCATGTTAAGTTCACAAGGTCAAAGCACTTTGACATGTATGTTCTCATCTGATCCATACCACACCTTGCCAATTAGCATCCCCTCTGCTGGAGATGAGGAAACTGAGGTTCAAATGATTTGCCCAAAGTAACACAGCTGGTAAACAGCAGAGGTAGGATTTAAACCCAGGTATTAGCACAGTTATTGTACCACAGCAGCCAAATCTCTCCCCTTTCACAGGTTGAGAAGTGAGGGTCTGGTGAGTTTATGAGGTGCGATGAGGGGAAGTCAGATGCAGCAATAGAAAGTAAACTTAAAGTTCTGCGCACTTTTCCAGCCACGATGCATTTCTGTCTCCTCTTGGTTTGCTTATTTCCGTTGGCAAGTACTCTACCCGACCTGTATCACAGTCACCTGTGGCACGCCTTATTCTTCAGGCAAGACGGTGCCCTACTATTGTGTTCAATATGTGTTTAAGAAAGATTTGAGTATGAATGAGTGGCAGAGTACACATTACTGACGGCAGATCTCGTATGACCATTAGATCCAGGCTGTGAATTAACGCAGCTTGAAAAATATAAAATATTCCGAAATCCATAGCATTAAAATTGCATTTAATTGATCACTACTGACTTTTTTTTAACCTGAGACAACAGGCATTTGTTGAGGATATCTTTATAAACATTAAAAAGTTCCAAAATAGACACGACTTTATAATAGCACTCTGTACCATTACAAATCCAAACATTGTATAGTGACTTGGAGAGATGTACAAACAGATTTTGGCACACTTTTAAAAAATCTCCTCAAAGCCATCCATTTGAATGAAAATCAGCACCGGTACAATCCCTCCAACCCATGAAAAAGAAATAAGGCAATAACTAAACATGAGCAGGAACTGATTTGAGAGTGAGAACTTATTTTTTTTGTACTCTAAAATGCTGATTGCCTATGAGTGATGGCTCAAATAATTTAAACTTAAACTGTGAGAAGTATTAAAATTTACTTAAAATATTCCCTACTTGTTTCTATCACAACGATGCAAACCTAAATTCTGAACGAAACTCAGTGCACCTGGGAATGCTCACCGCCTCGCTCCTGCCTGCAAATCGGGGTGGGCTGGCTGACAAGGGTGCACTTCTCAGGTAATAGGATTATAGGGCTGAGAAGGACTTTGAAACGACCCAATTCGCCACCTCATTTTACAGATGAAGAACCAAGAGCAGAGAGGGAAAGGGCTTGCCCAAGGCCACAAGGTCCTCCAGGAGTAGAGCAGTCATTCCCGCTCATGACAGTGTTCTGGGCTCAGACAGCTTCAGGCTTGGACTCTGGCCACACTACTAACTTGGCTTCCTCACCCTTGGAAGGAGATTGATCAGTTCTATCTTGCTGCGTTGTTCTGAGGATCAAATGAGAACATGTATCTACGCCTTTGATATATGTGAGCTCGCTCACTTTCCTTTTCCCAAACTAGTGCCCCTTCCCCATGTGATGCCTCCTCAATGTATATGGGCATTTTAGATGCACAGAAACTCCTCATTAGCAGCTATCAGGAGAAACTCGGGAAATTAAGTACATCCTCATGACAGTTTTTTCTTCCTTGCTTCCTAAAGTCCCTGCATCTCTGCCATTGAGGCCAGGGGACGGCTGGGAAGCACAAGGCAATCCCTGCATTGTTGTGGATGTCCCTAGGCCCCTAAGAATGGTAGTGGTGATGATTTGTCCCCGTCTTTTCTTTTGCTTGTCCTGCCCGGGATTTTGCCGTTCTCTTCCACAGCCCAGGGATGCCAATAAAGCAGAGATTTGGGGGGAACATTAAGGTATCCAGTTATGAAAATTTAAAATCTTCATCTTGGTAGAAGAGAGCAAAATCTGATGACAATTCACTGAGTATTTCACCAAAGCAGAAGTATTATAGCAACCCTCCCCCGCCCTGGCAGGCCTTTTATGGGGGGAGTGGTAAAAATTATGGCGCATCCAAAGGGTTAAGGGGCAGGAAGTAACTCAACACGTATATGCTTCCTATGTAAAGCTTGCAAGCAGTTTCTCTGGTAATAGATAGAGAGTTGACTTTAGTATATCCCACTTTTGAATGGAAAAAAGCTATCTGTATTAGCAAATTCAGACTCTTGATTCACACACACACACACACACACACACACACACAAAGGTCTCCTCAAAACTGCATAGTCCACTGGGTATTAAAATGTTGTTTGTTTAACATGGAAAGCTTAAATTATTGTTAAAGTATAGCGAAGTTCATTCAAGCCATCTCATGCGCTGCCTTGTTTTTGAACACTGCCCTCGGGGTTCTGTGCATTTCCCCAAAGCTCTAGTCTACAGATGGAATTTCACTCAGAATTCTTTCCATTCGTTAAAAATCAGAACAAGTTCACACACACACACACTCACACACACACACACACCCTGAGCCTTGTTCATTATGAACCATGGGATATGGTAAATAAGACCAAATTCCCTAGTGGGGGGTGGAACTAAAACCATGGATCTGAAGGAATAGCGGTGTGGAGGTCAGAACACAGGGCCCTGGTCTAGATTCTGCCCTGAACCAGCTTTGTGACCATGGGCAGGGCCAGCCTTTCTCTGCTTTGGTGTCCTCCACACAAAATGAAAAAGAAACCGTAGATGTTATAAATTCACCTACTTGGTGGTACCGCCCAATAACCCCCATTAGGCTTCAGCTACAGAGAAACTGGAAGGGTTGCTCAACGACTGGTAAGTCTGAAAGTTAAACTGGGATATTTATTGCCTACAGTCCAACTAGTCGTCTAATCAGTAAAGCTGTTAAACTTGCAATAATATTTCACTGATGTGTACCAGAGCGTTGCAAGTTATAAAATTTCCAATTTAATTTTACTGCATCCCTGAAGCCGTGGTAATTAGAAGACAAACTCACAGTGAAGATCTTTATAGCTTCAGGGGTGATAATTTTGAACCTGTCCTGCAGGTCACTTCTGTCCTCAAGGTTCCCCGATTTGACAGCTGCCTGTAGACTCAGGATTTTATGGTAATACAGAAGTAGCTCTTCATTCATTTGGTGGGAGCAGATGTAGATGACGCTTACATTGGCATCTACAAACAACAAGCACAGTGTTACTTACTGGTATAAAGGTGAATGACATAATGAACTCTGGCATCGGATGGATGTGGCACAGTTTAAAATAAAGGGCATATCCAAAGCCACACTGAAGTGAATTCAGATCGGTTTTGTACAGATCTTAGCAGTGTAACTGGCTTTTGAGCGCTTTAACATTCCTCTAAAGAAAAGATATATTAACACTATCCTCCCTAAAATGGACACAATGATTCTTTCAGAAGGAAGGCTGTGAGGTACCACGGAAGTCTACTTTCAAATAATGCAGAGAGACTCAGCCCCAGAACTCCCATTAACATCAATGGGAATTGCATACTGCTTTAAAAATTTATCCCATTAGCTTCAGTAAATTATGAAACAGAGCTATTAACTTTAAAATGCTGATGAAATGGCAATTTCTTATTCTGCCTGGATTTGGCAAGGCCAATTCGGGAACTTCGCTCTCCAAATAGATCATAAGATTATGACCACAGCAACGGTTATTTCAAGAGACCAACCTTTCCCCTGCTCCATTCCCAAAGAGGAGTAGATTAATTACGTAGGACATCTAGTGACTGTCGGTTTAAAGGAAACACTGTCTTCATTCAACTGTTCTCCTTCCTAAGATGTGCTTATGGACTTAGAAAGAAATCCTCATTAAATATCCCACCCAAATGGAAGTCAGGTGAGATTACCCTCTCCAGGCTGCAAAATATTTTAAGGAGTATGGACAGTAAATCAGCAGCCAATGAAGTCAATTAATTAATGAATAAAAATAACTGACCAATAGGAGCAAAGCACTTGACAAGACATGGAGGGAAATACAGGAAGCAAAGCAGTGGAGATGCTGGCCATGAGAAGCAACCCTCTCACCCCCCGACAGCCATGACGCACGGTGGAGAGCAGCGGGCACGAGGAAGCACGCCCGCAGGTGCTGGGGATGGTCACAGGAGGGAGCTCTGTAAATGTGTCCTCGGGAGGGAGGCCTGAGAGGGGATTTGGAGATGCCTCTGTTTGGTCTGGCAGAGGGCACAGAGCATAGATTGACTGAATTCTGGCTCAGCTGCCCAGGGACCCCGGGTACATTATTTAACCTTTGTAAGCATCGGTTTCTCCATCTGTAAAATGGGGGATAAAATCACCGGGGGCACAGTGTTAGAGCGTATTAAATGAAAGAACACATGATATTCATAGTTATATACAGGGTGGGCAAAAGTAGGTCTACAGTTGTTTGCATGGAAAAAGGCATGCAGGTATAGCTTTATTAACTCTGTGTTTTGCATACTCACAACTAAACACCCACTTTTGCCAACCCTTGTATATATATGGCACCCGGTGCCGTATCTGTCACATAGTAGGTGCTCAACAGACAGTACAAATATCCTCCACGGCTTACCCTTCCTAGGCCAGCCAACAGTTACTCCCCGCGGCGCCCTTCACACCTGTGCTCCTTTTACTCAATGCCTCAAGATTTAACACGATGGAATCACATCCTCTGCTCTTCTGCCTTATTGATCTTGTCTTTCCAAACTCCTAAAAGGTAAGGTGCATACTCTTTCTTATATTCTCCCAAGTCCTGATACAGTATAGAGTGTGCAGGAGGCACTTACTAAGTACTTGTGGGTGGACTGAAGGGATCTGGGAGAATGGAGAGATTCAGGACCTGGAACATCTCACACAATCAGTGAGCTCCCCGGCATCTGGGAGACATGTCCCGCTCCTGAGACAACATCTGTGACTAGAAGTAGAGTCTTCCGAACTGACCTGGTGCTCCATAAATGTAACTACGTGAGGGGCTCCTATTTAATTTGGGAACCCAAATGCCATAAACCTCAAAATAAACTAACTTAGGAGACAGTGGTAAAATTGCTGAATGATCAAACTAGTTGTTCCAAATCTTGTGTTTTTAAGACGAGACTAGTGCCTTACCAAACTAGTGGTTTTAAAAACCACTAGTATTTTTTTTAAGTATTGATAAAGGACACAAAAACAAATAAAAATAACAGAAAACTAAATTTTTCTTGGGAAAAAATTTCTAGGTTACAAATGATGACAAATCATGTTGCTAATTTCACCTTTCCTGTTCATTTCTGGCAAAGGAATACATATCATTAACACTAATATCCAGTATTAGTGTGGCTTGACTGTGAATCTACAAACATTCAAAATTGACAGGTAATTTTGGAAAGGAATTAATATGAAAATGAAGATTGCTTTGATTGCTAAGCAATAGTCAATATCAATCACTCTCTTGCTTAACTCATCTAGAAATTGAAAATACTAGTCGTTGCGTCTCCACCTGACATTCTGACTTCATGACCAATATGTGAATGACAAGTCTTACCAACAAGATCAATCAGGTTATCTTTATTTCCCCTGAATAAACAGAAAAAAATCAATACCCTTTACTAGGAATCAATGGAATTAAAAAAAAGATACTCATGTAAATTACAGCATAAGGAATATATCCAATAATATGCATGGTGTCAGATGAGCACTAGAATTAGCAGGGTGATCACTTCATAAGGTATATAAATGTCTCATCACTGAGTTGTACACCTGAAACTAATATAACATAAAAATAGAATTTAAAAGATAGTAATTTATTCTTCCACAAGATTGTTGCTCATTTTCTTAGTTTCTTATTTCACAATCAAGTACCTTGTCTAACTACTCCTCTTGAGAGGTTTTAGGATTGCCTTGCTGTGTCATGAAGATCGTGTAGCAAGAAAAGGCATTTGGTTCATAATCTCTCAGAAATGTTCATTAGCAATATTTCCCATTGCAGGTAGACCTACATGGAATTATTGAATTATTTAAAATAGAAGTTTAATACTTTCAAGTCTTTTCTAATAATGAGAATCTCTTGTAAAGAAATTCTTTGGCGATGGTTTGTGCTATATGAAAAGCTAAGAAAAATATTAATTCAAGTAAATTAGAGCAAAGTCTGCCCTCTGCTGCACTTCAGTGGTTTCCACCCGGTCAGGTTTTTAGTTGAAATAGCTCAGCACTAACAAATCAATCTCAAGTCATTAAATTTATTTTTGTAAGGCTGAAAAACAATATTAGTGCCTAGATAATAGATTAAAGCAATTACACTATTATTATTTTAGGACACTGTAAATTTCAAGTACTGATGTATTTTTGTTACTAAATGGCATTTATAAAATAATAATGATGCTGAAATATATGTGAAGCATGTAAAGTATGTCATTCTAGGGAGCCAGCTGAGTTGGTCATTGATAATTTAAAATCCTTCTTTGTTTTGCTTAAATAAGGGCCAAAGCAATTATATTTTTAACAAAACGAAGTTTTTATTTGGTAACTAATAAAAACCTAGTTTTTGTTTAACCCTGAATTTTGGCTAGTACATCCCAAACTGCTTCACTAGTATTGCTTAGCCCTTGCAGCCTTTATTCTTTAAGCCTGGCCAGCACCCTAGCTTTGAATGGCATCAGTCAAATTCTTGTACCCGTCGCTCCTGGCTCCAGGTGGTGTCTGATTTGGAAGTGACCAAATCAGTATTGGAACTTGACTTTTACAAAGGTGTATCTATCACTCCAGGTTTGTACTTAAGAATTTCCTCTATTAGGCATCCTCTGTTTTCTAATAACTAGATGCTACATATTAGATAAAATCTTTTGAAAATCTATCCTCATTTCCCTCTTATTCTTACAATGAAGACACAATGCTTTTAATTTCTGATACCACCTTCCACTCATTCCCCAGATAATATAATAGAGGATATTGGCACAAACATGGTAATTTCACTCCCTGCAAGAATTAGTAAACGAAGAAGATTTGGGGCTACAGGAGAGAAATCCTTATCCAAACCTGCAGCAAAGAGAATTTAGAAAACTACCCAAGTAAATTGGTTAAAGATGTCATTTTTTTAAATTCAAGTTGACTTCACTATAAATCTGTTCTTTAAAACAAAAATCCAATTGCCCTGCAAGTAAATGAGAGATCTAATCCTTTTACTTATAGAGAAAAAAAGCAAAAACAAACAAAAGAAACCCCCTCAAAAACAATTTATCCCCATCCACTGATAAACATTCCAAAGAGTCATTTGTGTAAAAGCATTTACTGTACCTGTGATGTCACACAGCCGCCCCAGCTGCATGTTCTGTTGCGTGTCGAAGTTGTCAATATTTTGTCGCACAGGCTGGGTATAACCTAAAAGGCAAACGAGGTGTCAAAACGCAGAAAGAGCAAATCAGGATGGCAACATGGCACACCCAGGATTCCAAATGTCACCGTTCACGTTTCCAGGGAAGAATTTTCTCTGGAGCACCTTGCAGAAACAGCCTCACTCCCAAGAGTGAGGCCCTCGCTCCCCAGGGGAGTAAGCATTACTCCGGGAGATGTGCGAAGCAGCACTTTCTGCAACAGACAGAGGTCTGTATTTTTCAATACCGGCCAGGCTGCTGGGAATCAGGGTTATGAAAACATGGGGAAATTTTCTGACATTTAACATGAATGTTCAAAACAACATGTAAGAAAAATCATGCTCAGGTTAAAAAACACACGAACAATTTTGGCTTTTTAACTTATGCTTCCTATGGGGCATTTTGAATATGTGTCCCAGGGTTAGTCTAAACTGACACACAGAATTCAAGAGAAACCTCTTGCTGTCAGGAATATGTCTTTACGTGAAAGAAACATGCTTCTGCTCACACAGTCAAAAGGACTTTTAACCTTTAAAGGGCAACAAAGGGTCTTGCGGTCAGTGCAGTGTTTTATCAGTGCTAACGAGAGTCCTGCCGGTTGCCTTCGTGTCCAGTGGAAACAGAGCAGAAGGAAAACCCACGTGGGTTACTATTGTCCAAAAATCGTCCACAGCAACAGACAGCAGCAACAACACTTCCTGCTAATACGTCAGGGTTAAAAATATAAGTGTGTGAAAACATGAACTTTAAAGGCATGCGTGCTCACAATCAGGTATAATGGCTTACACAAAATTCAACAACCGTAGGTGCAACTCATTTTTTTTTTCTCAATAAAATTGCTTTTCACATTTTGAAGAAATGCTTCAATGCCTCCTTGTGGTTAGTGAGCCCAAACACATGTTTCAAGTTAAACTGCCATAGATAAAGTGATTTTAAATACTGCATCTTTGAGATGGCACAGGCTTCCTTTTCAGCGAAAGGAAAAACTATAGCAATTCAGGCAACAGGGCTTCAGATCAAATGAACTCAGATAATTGGCTCCTTGCTTTGATGTCAGTGTTTAAACACTAGACGACGTCTGGAAATTAAATGAGTTTACAATTCCTCTGAAAGTCTCCCTTTGGCTTTATGCAGATAATCTAAAGAGGCAGGAAGCCAAATGGGTTGTTGGAATTATTTTTGAAAAATTATTAAATTCTAAAATAATTTGGGGAGCCATTCCATGGAATATGAAAATTAATATAGACAGCTACAAACAATGCTGTCTTGGTGTGTGGTTGCAATATTGTAACTTGGGATTTTGCATATGTATAATTTGAATAAATGTTTAGAAAGTGGTATTATGAATAACATATATTAAAACCATAAGAAGGCAGAAAAAAAATGCCTAAAGAAATAAGGTGCTATTAAGAAAAGTGCCTGAGAGCATTCCATGAACACATTTCTTTTCGAAAGTAAAGATAAAAGGCAGTGTGATGTCTCATTAAGATGCTGTCCAATTTGAAATATAAAGGCTGTCTGGTCACTTTCTGCAGCACAGGAAGGAATATATCTGTGTTTCAATCAAGTGCTTGAAGTTAGTTTTCCAAACAAAGTATTTAGTACCTCTGTTACCACTGATCAAGGATGCATATAAAGTATCTACACAGAATTACGGGGTATGGTAGAACTGGTTTCTCCGTTAAACCTACAAATACACCCATTTTAAAGAACTGCATATTAACAATCTCAGAACATTGTTATAGAAAATCATATGAAGTAACAGATATGAAAACATTTTGCAAAGTGTAAAGTGCTGGGCAAACATAGGTATTTTAATGTGAGGCATGTGCACTTCCAAAGCTTATAAGAACAACAAATTCTGTGTATGTTGCAACAGACCACTCTACTTGGGCAAGATGCAATGCAACGCACAGTGCCATTGGCAGAGCAGATGTGGGGAGTCAATTTTTTAAAAAATCAGATTTATTCTTATGTTTTGTATATCCACAAAGTAGATGACTCCTAGGCGAAAAGACCTCATTAATGCTTATGGCATATATTAAATACAACAAAGACTTAACCAGGAAACTACCAGCAAGGATGCTCTGGCTTTGGGAACTTCAGCAGTTCCAGTGGCAATGAACCATCACAGTTTGGAATAGAATCTACAAAGACGGGATACTTCAAAGGTCAGACTAGAAACACTGGTGGAGTTTCGAGAGCCCACTCCTCCTACCCCACCATGTTATAGATGGGGAAGCTCAGGGGAAGGGCCTTGTCCCTTGTCCCTTGTCCAAGGTTGCATAAACCTACTAGTTATTATACAGTTCAGATACTACAGATTTAGCTCCTGTCATCACAGTTTGGAATATAATCTACAAAGATGGGATACTTCAAAGGTCAGACTAGAAACACTGGGGGAGTTTTGAGAGCCCACTCCTCCTACCCCACCATGTTATAGATGGGGAAGCTCAGGGGAAGGGCCTTATCTCTTGTCCAAGGTTGCATAAAACTATAAGTTATTATACAGTTCAGATACTACAGATTTAGCTCCTGTGACAAATGTGGTTACATAAAATAGAGAAAACAAGACTCTCCAAGTGTGAGCAGAGAACGACAGAAGGGACAAAGAGCCTTTGCCACTCTTAAGACTTATTTCCAATTTTGTAATGGGCAGAAGAATGACCCTTCAAAGATGTTCTTGTCCCCATCCCTGGAATCTGTGAATATGTTAGGTGACATGGTAAAGGGGAAATAAAGTTGCAAATGGAATGAAGGCTGCTAATCAGCTGACATTAAAATAAGGAGATTGGCTGGGCCCAATGTCATCAAGCATTCTTAAAAGTGGAAGACAGAGAGAGGAAGAAGAGTAGAGTTAGAGATGTGACTGCGGAAGAAAGGCACAGAGAGCTGCAATGTTGCTTTATAGTAACTTGTTACAAGGTGATAGCAAACCAATATGACTTTCTACCTTCCCTTACCCCCTGTACGCATCACCTCTCTCAGATATCCTGCTCCTCTTTCACTCTAACTGAAAGATGAGGAAGGACCAAAATCCCCAAAAGAACTCATAATAAGCATTAGATAAGTGTTGTTGTTGCTGTTATCTTTTTTCTTTCTTAACTTCAGCTGAGCCAGATTGCAATTTTCAAAAGGAACCTCATTTTTACAAACTTTACTCTTACAAACATAAAATTATATTTGAGCTATCAAAGTACAGTTCTTCTCGCTTATGCAGCTGATAGGCCCTCATCACTGTCAAATGTGTCGGAACACCCTTTTCTAAGAAAATTCTCAATCTTCCCTCACGATCACTCTCTTGCACCCTTTCTCTGCTATCCTTTTCTCATGTTGTCATTATATGTTTCTTTGGTTTACTGGTTGTATGTCTCTCCTCTCCCCTGCACTACTCTGGCTTCTGTAAACAGACTGCAAGTTCCATTAAAAGAGAGACAGTGAGATATCCCCAGTCAAATGAATGAGTGAAATGTGTCTCAAGATCTTATTCAAAGAATCTGAAATTCCTAGCCCTTTTTGCCATGTGTTCTCATCATTTCCTCTCCTCCTTTCAACTCTTTTAAAATTGGGTTCCCTGATCTGAAGAATTTCTAGGAAATTCAAAGAATGGCCAGTGGGCTCTGTAGCTTTTCTAGGTCCTCATCTGCATAGAATAAAACAACAGCGGCCTGGCCGGTGTGGTTCAGTGGTTGAGAAAACTAAGAGGTCACCAGTTTGGTTCCTGGTCAGGGCACATGCCCAGATTGCGGTCTTGATCCCCAGTAGGAGGCGTGCAGGAGGCAAGCAGTTGATATTTCTCTCTCATTAATGTTTCTCTCTCTCCTTCTCCTTTCCTCTCTCTCTAAAAATCAATTAAAAAACATATTTAAAACACTGGCCTACAGGGGCACTCTCTCCTCCTTATCACTATAGAGGGAACTCAGCCTCTTTCCTCATGGCCATCTTCAGCACCTGCAAAATATTCCTAGTTTGATAGAATATTCCATCTTTTTTTCCAAAAGTTATGCCTCTGCTTTACATCAAAGAAGGGTACCCACAAACTGCCTCTCTAAAGTTATCCAAGTACTTTGGTCCTCTACTGAATCAAGAATACTCATCAATAGTTCAATTATGCTCATACTGGCTGTCATTTCTCCTTCTTCATTTCTACCTTCATCTTTATTCCCATTCCCACCCTCACTCCCATACACACTCCTCTGA